TGCTTCTTGCTGGCCTCTGCCCTTGAGAATTGCCACTGTGTGTTCAGTATCTGAATTGAGGCCTACAAGAGGCTCCTGGTTCTTTGAGACTAGAGAAGAGGGCTCTGCATACTGCCTCCAAAGAGCTTCCCCGAATCACAGCACTGTGGGGTCTGTAGGTGAAACGCTCCCTTCCTTGCAGTCTTCTCGTAGTCAAGGCCTGCCACCTCTCGAAAAGTCTTATCTGAAAAAGCACCACATGGCAACTGTGCTGACAGAAGCATAGGAAGCTGCCCGGACAGCGTCTGATCTTTGTTCTATCTAGCCCAGTATCGCCAGCTCTGACTGGCAGGTCTGGCTGTCCAGAATTTCTGGTCTTGCTTAGCATCGGAAAGCAGACAAGGCTGGGCGTGCTGTTCTGCAGCACTCTGCTGAGGGAGCTACACATGCACTTTCCCGTGGAGAGGGAAGAGAGCACCACCCATGCACGCAGATTGCGCAGGGTGCTTCACATGTGGTGCATTCATCATGCCTCTTGTCCTCTCCTGAACAGATAGCTTGGGAAGGAAGCTATCCGTGTCTCTCAAGTGTTTGCCCTGTTGCCCAGGATGTCTCTTTCCCCAAATGATCTTCTGCTCATCCCATGTTTATCTTTTTGTTTCTCTTGTTGCAACACTTGGAGTGGAATCGCTCACCAATAGAGGTGGGCACAAATAGCCAGTTCGGCAGTTTGCGCCTTTTGTTTTGGTTTTTTGTCCGAACAGGTGTTTGGTACTTCGCAGCCCTGCCTCCGCTGGTAGGCGCCTCCTTGAAGACAGCAGCCTGGCTTCTCTGCCCCGCCTCCTCTGGGCACTGCCTCTGAGTGGGCAGCTGCTGGAGGAGGCAGGACTTTGAAACACCGAACAGCTATTTGGCCAATAGACAAACTGTCACAAACTACCAGACCAGCAGTTCGTGCCCATCTCTAGTCACCAATGTTAATAATCTAGCAAGAGTTAGGGCCAGTATATAGAGGGCAACAATTGCTATGCCTGGAAGCCTGGCCACCAGATCTTGGCATGGAAGTGTTTGGCCTTTGCATTCACGGTGACGTAGGCTTATCCGAAGGTGAGCTCAACCTTCTCTTGCCAACACCTCTGTGGAACAACATTAGCTTCAGAGGCCACAAGTCCTCCAAGATCTTCCCAGTCTGTGCCTTTCACAGCAGCTGCTCACCCGATTTCTCTCTCTCTCTCTCTCTCTCTCTCTCTCTCTCTGTGTCTCCCTCCCCCCGCCCTTCCCAAACCCTGTGTAGCAGACGATTTTAGCTCTCAGGATAACCTCGATGAGCCAGAAGCTGGCGGCTGGGATGCTACATTGACTGCGGAAGAGGAAGACGAGCTGTTTGAATTGCAGATCGTGAAGCATCACGAGAGCGAGGTAAGGCAGAGACGCAGGTCTTTTGCAGTCTGGGGCTAGACCTTCGTACAGGTGCCATGAAAACTGCTTTCCGTGGGATTCTCAAGGCATATCTTGTAAATACTCTCAAGGCCCTGAGGTAAGCTGCCTTGGGCTCTTTTTAAGAAGAAAAGTGTAGTAAAATATTATGAATGAATGAATTAATGAATGAATGAATGAATGAATGAATGAATGAATGAATGAATGAATGAATGAATGAATTAATGAATGAATGCACTACATCAGCATTCATCCACTGTTCTGGCTTTGCCTTGAGATTCATCCTTTTGATGAAGTACCTGGAATTCTTCTGTTTCACAGCTCTAGTGCAGGCCCTTAACTGATTCCAAAACAATCTCAGGCCCTTGCCAGACTACAAATCCCATGACTCCTTAAGATCGTGCCACCACAGTTAAAAGGGGTATCAAATTCATATGACTTTGTCATGTGGCTATACATCTGTTGCGCATGTAAATACTGTAAAATGTCAGCAGTGGAGGTGAGCCTGAACTGCCCATTCGGTGGTTTGTGCCTGTTCGTTTAGCAGCCGAACAGATGTTCTGTGCTTCAAAGCCTGGGCTCTTCCAGCCAAGTGAGCACAGGCAGCCACCTGGCTTCCCTGCCCTGCCTCCTCCAGCAGGTGCTCACTTGGAGGCAGCCGCCTGGCTTCCCTGCCCTGCCTCCTCCAGCAGGTGCTCACTTGGAGGCAGCCGCCTGGCTTCCCTGCCCTGCCTCCTCCAGCAGGTGCTCACTTGGAGGCAGCCACCTGGCTTCCCTGCCCTGCCTCCTCCAGCAGGTGCTCACTTGGAGGCAGCCGTCTGGCTTCCCTGCCCTGCCTCCTCCAGCAGGTGCTCATTTGGAGGCAGCCGCCTGGCTTCCCCGCCCTGCCTCCTCCAGGCACTGCCTCTGAGTGGGTGGCTGCCAGAGGAGGTGGAGCTTTTGAAACACCAAACATCTGTCGGGCTGCTAAACGAACTGGTGCAAACCACTGAACTGGCCGTTTGTGCCCATCTCTAAAGAACGCGCACGATTACATATGTGTAGGTTGCTTGCTCTTTTCTGTACAGAAGTCCTTTCAAGGACCGGACATCCACTCAAGTTGGTAGAGTGTGGAAGAGCAAAGATCTGGTCCCACGAGGTTTCATCGTCGCTCTGAATCCTTTCCGTTGTTGGGGTTTATTTTCACAGGCAAAGGCTGAAGCTTCCTGGGATTCCACCGTTCACAACTGTATACAGCTGAGCAGAGGAACGGCAGCCGAGCAGAGGGTTTACCTTATTGTGCGTGTGGCCGTGCAGCTCAGCCACCCGGCCGAAATGCAGCTTGTCCTCCGGAAGCGGATTTGCGTCAACGTTTATGGCAAGCAGGTATATCTCTCAAGAGCAATTAAGACAGTGGGATCCCTCTTGTGCGTCAAAGGTCCCTGTGGGTCAGCCTAGCATTGCCTTCGGTAACAACCAGATATGTCCTTTTTTTAAAAAATTGACATGGTAATGTTTCTTTTCTTCCTGCTTTCCACCAAGAAGCGATGTTCAAAGGTGTATTGCGTCTGCATAGGAAGGTTTCATTGAGCAGAGCTTGGCATTTTTTGGGGGGGAGATTTTTCTGGCAGGGGATCACAGCATCCTGTATCCCCTAGCCACTGGGGACTCTGGGAGTTGTGATTCAAAAATGTAACTTTTCCAAGCTCTTATACTGCATGATGTGGCCTAAACCCAGACAGATCATGAATTTGTCTAACATTAGATAGACAGATAAAACTTTATAACGGCCAAAGACCAACATTGTCTAATGTTTTTCAGAAGAAAAATGTTCTCTGTGGTTAAGTGTGTCACCACATCTGGCAATGAAATGTGCAACTGAATTTTCAGCGAAGTGTAAACAACGGAACACCATCCGTGTTTTTAGGGGCCAACACACTAGCCAAAATCCTGTTAGTTATCCTAGTATATCACACTAGAGTAGGCCCATTGAATCAATGGGACTTGGATAAGTCAGGTCCTCCATAAGTTCCATTGATTCAAATGGGCCGACTCTAAGTGTGACTTAGTGGCGGTTAGAGTAGCCCCATTTAAATCAGTGGAACGTACAAAGGAGTTGACTCATCAAATCTTCATTGATTCAGTGGTCCTCCTCTAGTGTAATTAACTGTGCTGACCAACAGGATTTGGGCCACTGCTTATGCATTCCCTAGATCTGAGGTATGGTGAACCAAGTTAAAACTATTGCTGCTTTTTGCTGTTGACACACTTCTAAACCAGTAACATTAAAAGAACCACCTTAAATATATGTATAGTTTTATTATCTCTCTATATGCTCTGTGGATCTTTTATAGTTGAGTGATTACGCCGTGGTTCCAGTGACTGGCGGGAGCATAGATGTACTTAACTGGATATCTCCACAAGCTTCCTTTTTTCTGTTGACTTGGGGGAAAAGCTCAAAAATAGTGTACAGTATTATAAGAACCCTATCTTTAAGGTGTTAACCTTTCAGGGGGTAAAGGCATAACGGTGTCAATCTTTGGGAAGTAATATGCCTGCAACACTGTCCCTTTTTGGTGTAACAAGTAATGCTCATTCGTTGTGTGCAAAATAGTTAATTTGGGGGAATTCTTACCCATTTTCCTGGTTTTTCCTCCAGTTCTTTGTCAAATACAGTAATAACATGGCTACTAATGTGGTGGCAGAACTACAAGGCATGTATTATCCTTTTAAAGTAATGGCTAATAATATTAATGATTATTAGCCATTGCGTAATTTATGGCTAATAATCATTATGGCTAATGATACCCCTCTGATGGCAGAAAGTGAGGAGCAATTAAAGAACCTCTTAATGAGGGTGAAAGAGGAGAGCGCAAAAAATGGTCTGAAGCTCAACATCAAAAAATACTAAGATCATGGCCACTGGTCCCATCACCTCCTGGCAAATAGAAGGGGAAGATATGGAGGCAGTGACAGATTTTACTTCCTTGGGCTCCATGATCACTGCAGATGGAGACAGCAGTCACGAAATTAAAAGACACCTGCTTCTTGAGAGGAAAGCGATGGCAAACCTTGACAGCATCTTAAAAAGCAGATACATCACCTTGCTGACAAAGGTCCGCATAGTCACAGCTACGGTTTTTCCAGTAGCGATGTATGGAAGTGAGAGCTGGACCATAAAGAAGGCTGTCCACTGAAAAATCGATGCTTTTGAATTGTGGTGCTGGAGGAAGCTCTTGAGAGTCCTCTGGACTGCAAGGAGAACAAACCTATCCGTTCTGAAAGAAAACCACCCTGAGTGCTCAGCGGAAGGACAGATCCTGAAGCTGAGGCTCCAATACTTTTGCCATCTCATGAGAGGAGAAGACTCTCTGAAAAAAACCCCTGTGTTGGGAAAGTGTGAAGGCAAGAGGAGAAGGGGATGGCAGAGATGAGATGGTTGGACAGGGTCATCGAAGCGACCAGGATGAATTTGACCAAACTCCGGGAGGCAGTGGAAGACAGGAGGGCCTGGCGTGCTCTGGTCCATGGGGTCACGAAGAGTCAGACACGACTAAACGACTAAACAACAACAACAATATTAACATTTTTAAAGCAAACTATTCCAGATTCTGATGTTGAGTTGGACATGACTGAACAACTAAACAACAAAAACAATATTAACATTTTTAAAGCAAACGATTCCAGATTCTGATGTTGAGTGAAATATGTTTGCTTTTTGGTTTAGCTTCTCCAACTAAACTCCTAAGTCAGTAATGTTGACTTCTGTTTCATTAATTCTCCTCCCTCCGGATTCTGCCAGAATATTTTGCTGGATATTGAGAAAGACAGGATAAATCATCATTTGTTTTAAAAAAATCAAATTGATTTCAATTACAATTTAAATCGTGATTGAAAAACAGATTTTAAAAAAATGTAATTTAAATGGTCCAAAGTCTTAATTTTAAAAAAATTTAAATCCTGGTTTAAATTGTGATTTAAATCACGGTTTATATCGTGATGCAAATCATGGTGAAAATGGTGGTTTAAATCAAATCCCTCTTGCCTGGGAGACTTTAGGTGCTCAGATTTGAACATGCCTTAATTGACGCCTCTTCTCCTTTCCTCTTTTTTTGGTTTTTCCCAACCTTCCTTGTTCCTGACTCCATGGCAGTCGCCAGGATTTTGCCTTGAGGCTCCAGGAGGCTAGTATACAATTTTCCAGTAGAGCATCTTGGCAGTCACCACCTGAGTTATCCGTAAGAAGCCGAAAGATGCAGGACGACGGTTCATGTGGTCTGCCTTGTTTGCTGCTGCCTAAGACATTTCATCCCCTTGTGCCTGTACAGTAATAGGCTGTGTTTATTCGGTCGTCCTTTCATCCACTTTTCTGCATGCTAGCAAAATATGCTTCAGTAAATGATCGCCCCATCTTCCATCCTGTTATGTAGCCAGTATTTGTGACAGGGCCCTGGCATACATTCAGGCATTTCCTTTTCTTCTTAGCAGGCCTCTGGGGTTCAGCATGACCTTGACAGAGAAAAAGAACCAAGACCACCAAGAATCTGGGCCGTAGCTTCCCCGTTTTAACCTCACCGGGACCTCAACAGGCCACCCTATCCCATTTTATTATTATTACAGTGGTGCCCCGCATAGCGATGTTAATCCGTTCCAGGATTAATGTCGCTATCCGGAAACATCGCTAAACGGAAAGAAAACCCCCCATAGGAACGCATTAAACCCTGTTTAATGCGTTCCTATGGAGCAAAAACTCACCGTTCAGCGAGGATCCTCCATAGACGCCGCCTCGGTAAGCAAGGAATCCGTCCAGAAAACAGCGGATGGCCATTTTGGAACCGCCGATCAGCTGACATTTCCCCCCAGCTGGCTGGCTGGCGCTTTGGAAGGAAAGGGCGCATGGCCCTTTCCCTTCCCCCGCTGCCGCTCTGGAAGGAGTGAGCCGGCCAAAGTGCCGCTCGCCGCCGGCCCTGGGTTGAGCGCCCGCTGCCCCTCCTCCTTGGAGGAAGAGGAGGAGGTAGAGTGGGAGAAAGGGAGCCAGGCGCCCGGCCCTTTCCCTTCCCCTGCCGCCGCCGCCGCCCCAGGAGGAGCAAGCTGGCCACAAAATCTGCATCGCTATGCAGATTCGTCATTAAACGGGACACTCGTTATGCAAGGCACCACTGTATAATTATTTTGAAAACTAGAAGTGATCAGAAGGTGTTTTGGGGTGAGCAGGAACTTTTTAGGGCCTAAAACAGGTTGAAGGAAGAGCAAAATATGCCCCATGGAGGCAACATGGTGTCCCACTGGCTATTTTAGGGCCCGTTTCTTTTCACTGGGTGGATCTTTGAGACTTCCATGCATCCACACACTTTGTCATCCCTGATTTTAAGAGGAAGGGTGTGACATTTGGAATCCGTACTAGAGAGGATTCTATATTGTCTGAGAACGTACTCAGGTAATCTGGCATTGCTAAAATGTTGAAGTAGGTCATTATTGAGGTCAACTGGGAAATATTCTGTCTGTGTGTGACTCAACAAAAAGAGATCAAACGGGTGTGTGCATGCACACGTGTGTGACTCAACAAAGCACAAACCCTTCTTGAGATAGAAGAGAATGTTTCAAGATCTTTTGTTTCACCTTGTTCTACCCACTCTGACTGGCAGCCGTTTTCCTTGAATGTATGTGTGGGAATTTTCACTCACTGATTAGGGCCCACTTGTTAGGGGTTCATTTTACCAGATGCCAAAGAATAAAAATGAGGACTTCCTTCTAGCTCCGCCTAACCTCTGAAAGCTGAGTGGTGGCCCCTTCCAATGTTCTTCAGATGTGTTGTGGCTGCCTCGTTGAGTTCTGCTGTGGTACGAAACCCTTCCTTAAATTGCTTTCCTGTGCAGCCGGCTAAAATCACGCCACTCTTTAGTTATTCTCCACCATCCGTATGCGTCCCAAATGTGTAATTCAAAGCCATATCAATAACCTTCCAAGACGGTCCAAGCATTTTGCAGCAAACTTGAGATGAGTCATCTCTGCATTAATTCAGGAGTCGGGATTTTTAACCTCTCGAGGCACCCTGTCAGCATAAACAATGGCTGTGACCCTCTTAAATCATTGTTTGTAATGATCTTGATCGCCAGGAATTCAATGGCCAGACTCGTCTGCAATGCAAAGCGCAAGTTACTCCCAGATCACAAGGAACTGTGTCGGGTGTGGGGGAAAGAAAGGAGAAAAAAAAGGGTCGTCATGTCGTTTGGGAAGAAGTCACCTTGCTAGTATCTCTGCGGCAATGCGGACGTAAGAAACATGGGGTCAGATCTTCAGGTGGTGTTCTGAGAATCTGAGCACAAACACCCTCTCTTGTTCATGGTGTATGACAGTTCCCCAGTTTCTTGCACAGTGTGGATGTTGAAGGTTAACAGAAATTGACGTATCTGACAATTTTATGTGGAACAGCTCTCCCGTCTCAGAAAGCACTGAATGACAGAAATGGGAAACTTCTGTTACTTCTGGGGACGAGCAGGTGCTAGTCTGGGGGTTCTTGAAGATGTCCCTCTCAAAAAAAGTACCGTATTTTTCCGTGTATAAGACACCTCCATGTATAAGACGCCGCCACTTTTCTAATCCAAAATTAAGAAAATAAGTGGGGCTTAGCAAGTGTAGGGGGAAAGGGATCAAAGCGCTGCAGGATCGCTTTGATCCCTGCTTTCCCCTCCACTTGTTTTTGTTCTCTCCTCAGCTTACTTCCGTGTATAAGACGAGCCTCAATTTTTAATCTAAAATTTGTAGACAAAAGTATAGGTTTATACATGAAAAAATACGGTAGCTTCTCTAAGTTTTAAAATAGCAGGACTCTGCAGTTTTGGAGGAAGTCGTTTTACTGTAAAAAGAGACACACTGGAAAAGACAATAGTGCTGGGAAACATTCAAGGCAGTAGAAGAAGAGGAAGAAATGAAATTAGGGTTGGTGCAGTAAAGGAAACCCTGGCCCTCAGTTTGCAAGCCCTCAGCATGGCTGTTAACAACAGAATTTCGCGAGGTTATTGACCTCTCGTGGTGCAGTGGTTAAACTGCAGTACTGCAGCCAAAAACTTTGCTCACAACCCGGGCTCAATCCCAGGTAGCCCACTTAAGGTTCATTCAACCTTCCATCCTTCCGAGGTCAGTAATTTGAATAACCAGCTTACTGGGGGTGGGGAGCAGGTTGCAATGTATAGCCTGCATCATTAAATTGTAAACTGCCCAGAGAGTGCTTTAAGTGCTCTGGGGCAGTATATAAGCAGCAAGTTGTTTTGTTTTTTTTTTTGTATGTTTCATTTTATTTTGTTTCTGCTTTTCCGAAGGGTCACCATCCGTTGAAAATGACTCGATGGCCCATAACAACATCTAGCTTCTGGTGTGTTCTGTCCTTTAAAAAAAAAACTTTTATGAAAAACTGACCTTTCTTTCTAGGAATACATAGCTGTTTTTCTTTGTTACGGTGCAAATGCATATGCCACGTCTTGCAAAATGCTGCTTAATATGCAGAGGAATTTACATGGGGTTGCGTCATGGCTTGTGAGACAGGTGACTGGTGCGCGAAACCTTGTTCCACCCGCTGTCAGTCCTGCTAGCGTGTGGTGGGAGTTGGAGAAACAACTTCTTCCGGCCTCTTACCTCGTCTTTTTTTTTTTGCTAGAAAAGCAACAGCCTGCGCTGTCTTTTATTTATTTATTCATTGTGCTGAGCGAGCTGTGCATCCGCTTCATCTTGTTGTTGAAAGATCACGTCTTTAGCGTTGACTTATTTGAAGCTGCAAGATTTCTCTCCCCTCTAGGGTTTTGCCCAGAGTTTCCTAAGGATGATGTCTTACCGAAGCTCTGTGCCTGGCTGCGGAGTCACCTTCGAAGTTGTTTCGAATATTCCAGAGGTGAATATTTGGGGGGGGGGAATGCGAAGATTCGGCGCTTCCAAAACACAGCCACTCATCCCTTTTCCTCAAAGGGGAATATTCACACAGCTGGGTGTTCACTGAAGTTTTGCCACCCATTTAGTTTCCTAGGTAGACTCGTCGCAGATAGGAACAAACGGGACCCCTTTCTTCTCGTGGGAGATATCTTTCTGCTTTTTTTCCCCCGGAATGTGACCCATATTCTCCCTTGACCCCACTGTGGACCGGTGCAACCAACTGCAGTAAATGCATAATCTTAGAGACCCTACTTCTTAGCTCTTGACACTGTCCACAGCGTGGGTACCTTTCATTGACTGATTGATTGATTGACTCAAGTGTCCATGTTTCAGGTAGAGTTCTGATAATTATAGACCAAACAAAAGTCCAGATTCTTGCTCACTCTGAATTAGGGATAAAAAGCTTCCTCTCTTTTCCAGACCATGTCATTTTCAACTTTGTTCATTCCCCAGCTTGGAAATTTTATTTTATTTTTCTTTGGAAATTCTGGACGTTGCCGTCTTAAAAATCAACATTTCCAAGTGTTAATTCATCCCTAAGTCTGCTGTATCCCATTTCTGTCTTAGATGTCTTTTTAAAAAATTCACAGGGAAATGTATTTCAATACATTTTAATATATATGTGTATATATATATATATATATATATATACAGTGGTGCCCCGCATGACGACGATAATCCGTTCCATAGAAATAGCTGTTTAGCGAAAACATTGTCTTGCAAAAACCGTTTCCCCATTGAAATGCATTTAACCCCATTTAATGCGTTCCAGTGGGGAAAAATCATCGTTTTGCGAAGATCGCCCATAGGGAAGCCATTTTGTGAAGTGCCGATCAGCTGTTAAAATGGCTGCTCTGCGAAGCATCGGTCCCGAAAACACCCGTTTTCCGAAGCGACGATCAGTGGCAAAATCGTCGTCTTGCGAAAATTGGTTTGTGAAGTAAGGACCCAAACATCGTCCAGTGAAAATCGCCCATTGGAATCACTGTTTTGCGGATTGCTATAGCGATCGCGAAACCTCATCATGCGGATTCGTCGTTTTGCAAGGCCGTCGTCTAGCGAGGTACCACTGTATATCTTACAAAATAGACCTTTTAAAACACGTTTACTCTCAAGGTATACATTTATCAGTGTATTTTGTCTTCAAGTAGCCATTTTTCTGTGCATGTTGGTATTCCATTATGGGGAGACCATGGGCCATCAGCAGCACAAATAAATAGGCTCTAGATAAGATCAGCTGCTGGCTGGATAGCTGAGTGGTTTAGGCATCTGGCTGTGGACCCAGAGGTTGAGAGTTCGATTCCCCCACTGTGCCTCCTGGGAGAAGAGCCAGCCTGGGTGGCCTTGGGCAAGCTGCACAGTCTCAGGGTATCCCCAGAAGAAGGGAAATGTAAATCACTTCTGAGTATTTTCTATCTGGAAAACACTGGAAAGGTGTCGCCCTAAGTCAGAAGGGACTTTTAAAAAGCAAATCAAATAGAGCTTGAACTCGGTGTAGAAGCTAAAAATGACCAAATCGACATTGGTTTGGACTTTGGGCGTGTCATGGGAAGGAAAGAATCACTGGGGGGAAAATAATAATCCTGAGAAATGTTGAAGGCCATGTTTGAGGTGGTCTCCTTCCCCATCCCAGGACGCTCAAGGAGCAGAAGAACGGGAGGCACTAGCCAGAATGGCGGCCGACGTGGAGAACACCGCTTCGGCTGACTCAGAGGCCCATATAGAGAAATACCTCCGGAGTGTACTGGCTGTGGAGAACATCCTTACTCTGGACCGGTTACGCCAGGTTCGTTGAAACTAAATTTATAAAATGCTGCGTGGTGAGTAACATGCCGTTGGATGCAAAGCTGGGGCCTCTGTGATGAAATCTAGATTTTTCATAGCAATGTGCGGAAGACCTTGTGGAATATATAATAGGATCCCCTTATCCGCAGGATCAGTATCCACAGATTCACTTATCCACAGTCTGGAAATATTAAAAGAAAAATCCTGGAAATATATATTTCTAAAGATGAATTTATCACTAGAGGGAGCAAGAGACTGATCTGTGTGTATATCGGTCACGATTTAAATAGTGTTTGATACAATCAACGTTTTTCAGCATCTGTTCGGTGAGTTGGGGAGGGCCTTCTTCTAAAGATAGAGGTGGGGGAACTTTCTCCTTTTCACCAATTATGGATGGATTTGATGTCATCGAACCCCAAAGTGTTGCTTACTTACATAGCCGTTTCTCCAGAGTGTGTGGGGCTGCTTCCCTTGTT